AGGCAGAGACAGTATTCTAATCACAGACAGACAGAAGGAAAAATTCCTGCAAAATTCCGGACTGCTGACAAATCTGAACTGCAGTATTTCTGTGATAGTCACCCATAAACTCAGCAGATCCACACAGATGATCGATGGGGGGGGTTTGTGCCTTGAAACCCATGAAGTTTTGATTTTAATTTTTTTCAACTGAGTATAGAGCATAAGTTTAATTTAAGTTAGCAGAAATGGCAGATGACTTCCAATTGAAGGAATCTGTAGAAATTCCTACTTCTGTAAGTCTTCCAGGAAACACTCACACTATACACTAGGAGTAGTAAGATGTTTGTGTACTTTACTAAAAACCTCAATACACATGGTACTACAAAACAAGACCCTGCAAATACTGACCCTTGAAATGAAGCCCCTACAGGAATCCTCCCATTTGGATAATTTTACTGCCATCAAAATAAAATTAATCTGATATGCCATACTGACCTGTCAATTACTGCCATGGAACAATTCATTTCCAAGGAACTCAGCAGGCCCTGCCAGTCCCCCTGAGCACAGTAACAGGAAGGGACACGGATCACAGCACCAGCCTGGCACTGACAGCTCTTCTGGGCATTGAAGTAGTTGGTCTGTTGCCACTCCACCTACAAATGCACATCTGGGTTCCCCGTGGAGAGTCTGCACATAAAATATTCAATGGTTCTCCTGGCCTGCCTGCTCTGCTTCTTCAGGACATTATGGGAGAAATTTTAGTGCAATATCAGGGCTAATTGAGCTGCCTAATCAGGCCAGACCCACTGTACAGCATCTCACGGTGAACCACATGGGAACGTGGAAACAGGAATAATCTACATAAACTGAATCCTAATGCTAGCTTGCTTCACTACTCCTTCATTATTCCAGCATGAATAAAGAACAAAGGATACAAAGATAAATCCCATTGTTTTATCCATGAATAAACCTCCAGGTGGTTGTGCTTATGTTAATTTCTGATGCTGAACTGTAGCTTTTCTGTTTTTCTGCAAAGAATTAAGTATAGAAGTTGTTTCATATGTGCTCACACTGGCCTTTGTTTCCCGGTGGGAATCTCATCACGGCTTTAGCGGGAGCTTTAAAAGCTGCCAAGCAGTTTTGAAAATACCCCTGCAAGTGCTTAACTACAACGGCTTTTGGTATAAATAAGCAAAATATTTACTTACAAAGCATAAACTCAAAAACATGCTGTGGCAACTGAATAAATCTGGTAATCCATTCTGACTACAAAGACTGATTTCAAGCCATCAAAGCCTGTCAAAATGCACTTAGTAGGTTGAACATTCTTATAATATTAACCATCATTTTTCATTGTAAGCCACCTACTCATAAGCTGTAATAGATGAAATAGAGGATCCTAGATAAATAAGATTTTTCTATAGGGAAGAAGGGAAATTATTAAGTTTAGTTTCAAACATCTGATGTGTTCAGTTAAGAAGATTAACACATTATTAAAATAGTTCAGTTATCAAAATTTATCTACTAAACTTTATATAGAACTCATCTATAACATACAGAGAGAAAAATCAGCGCAGATAATACATTTATGCAAGAATATTTTGTCTTTCCTGGAGTAGACCAACAACCCTGCATATTTGACAGTGTTTATAAGCACATACTTCCCCTCACAAAGATACTGAAGAGTTAAACTTTTCTTGCAACAGAAATAAAATTATCTAAAGAGCATTGTTTGAACTCAGGCAAGAAGGGAAGGCAGGCAGGCCATGATCCTGCAAAGGGACCTGCCCTGCTGTACAGTGAGAGTTCCATGGGAGTGAGGTTTACCTAAAAATGAGGCTTCTGTCCTAGGCTTTTGTGTGATGTGTGCCCAACTCCTGATAGCACTGATTTGTGTAGAAGGGTTCTGGCATTTTCCTCGCTGTTGACCGAAGGTGGTCTGGCAGCAGCGCTGGCAGCTCAGACGCAGTGAGATCTTCAAACGATGGCTTTTTGCAAGGACGTGCAACGTCTTCATTATCACGTGTGCACACACACACACTAGACTGAAAACCCTGACCACTGACAAAGCCTCTGGCTTCTTGTGATGCCGAAAAAATCAAACGGCTACTAGGACTCCGTTATTTCGGTAGCAAAAGGCTTAGTGCAGCAATAAACATGAGATGTGCGCTGGTTTTGGCTGGGTGGAGGTGGTTTTCCCCAGTTGGTCTAATGGGGGGCTACATTTTAGATTTGTGCTGAACACAGGGTTGATAATATAGAGATGTTTTTGTTATTGCTGAGCAGTGCTCACACAGAGCCAAGGCCTTTTCTGCTTTTTGTACTGCCACACTGGCATGCAGATAAGTACTTGTACAGCAACGCTGGCTGGGGGTGCATGGGAAACTGGGAGGAGAGACAGCCAGCACAGCTGACCCTAACTGACCCAGGGGATATGCCAGACCATATGCCATCATGCTTAGTCTATAAAGTGGAGGGAAGAAGGGGTGACATTTGGAATGATGGCATTTGTCTTCCCAAGTCACTGTTATGCATGATGGGGGCCTGCTCACCTGGAGTTGGCTGTACACCTGTCTGCCCGTGGGAAGCAGTGAATTAATTAATTCCTTGTTTTGATTTGATTGTGTGCACAGCTTTGGCTTTCCCTATTAAACTGTCTTTATCTCAACCCACGAGTTTTCCAGCTTTTACCCTTCCAATTCTCTCCCCAGTTCCGCTGGTGAGGGAGTGAGTGGCTGTGTGCAGCTTGGTTTTTGGCTGAGGTTAAACCACAACAAAATGACATGTGATACCCAGGTTAAATAACAGCTGGGATTTGCAAACTAGGATATTTTCATGATGTCCACAAGTACATCAAAAAGCATAATCGGTTTCACAGCTTTATATTCATACAAATATCACACCCAGATCCACAATCCCAAATCCCATTAAGTGATGGTTTTAAGTGCCTAACATGGCCTGTTATTCAGCCTTTGATAGTCATGTTACTTGACTTCTTTTGTGCAATCCCTATATTGAATGCGCTCCACAATGCAGTGACCAGATTCGTAATCCTCATTTTTAATTAGTTATATTCAGTGATGCACACTGACACTTTGTCATAAAAAGCAATTTAAAGGCTACACAATGTAGCAAAAACTAAACCGGCAACCTTTCATTTCAGAGCTAGAGGCCACTACAAGCAGCACCAGAATCTCACCAAGGTTAACAGAAGTGTAAAGAGCCACCAGCATGAATCAGCTTCCCATGGTGGCACCAACAACCTCTGGAAGACTTGCCGAAATTCCCCATGCTCCCTAAGACCACTGCGTGCAAAAGTCCTGCAAATGAGACATGTGGATATGAACTTGGAAACCTGCTGAATAGACAAACAAAACTGCAGATCTAAACTGCTGGTTTCCAAACTTTTACTACGTGACCTTAGTACATTTTAACCATTAAAAAGGAAACCTCATTGCTCTTAAATGAGAAACACCTGCCAGCTTTTCTGCTGCCTTCTATGAAACTGCTGACCTGCGAGCATTTAAAGATCATAGATGGGATTTTATTTGTCCAACTGGTGAATAATATTCTCCCAAAGCTTTTATCGTGCTCACTTTCCTAAGGCATTTACGGGGTAGGACACCAGACAGCGATATCAGGTGGTGGCTATTTCAGACACACATACCAAGAAAGGCTCAGAATTTATGGGAAATGCAGTTGCCCTGTGACATGTGTGAGGTGATGGCAATGAACCAGGACCTGGCCATAGGATACCAGCCTCCAGATGTTCAGCCTGTGCCAGGGCATTCACAGAAACAAGTGCTGATGTAGATCAAACAAAGGCATTTAATTCCAGGGCAGGAGATATATGCAGTGATGCTGTGATAAAAGCAAGGCTGTGAACCCCAAGGGTAGCACATCCCTAGTTGCTACACAGAGCACCACTTAGCTGATGGATATTTATTTTAACAGCGTGACTTAATGAAAAGATACATTTTAGAGATCTTAAAATTGTATGTCATGGATCTCTCTCACAGTAATTTAATAGAAAAAGATAACTACATATCTGTCTCGACATCTATTTATCCTTACGCATCACTTCTTCCTGCTTTTCAGTCCAAGTACAGGGTAAAATGTAGCAGCAGCCAAAAAATCAATACCATCTCCTGAGGAAACAGCACTGCTCCACACTAGGTACTACTGAAGTAAGTTAAAAAAGCACCCACAGTTATCTGCTACAGAAAGTCCATCCAACACAAGCCTAAGCAGAGATTCCTCCATCAAATCTCCATGGATGTACCAATAAACATCCCAGCCACTTCTCTGCAGAGATGTGAACCTCCACACATAGCAGTAAATTAACTTCTTGGTTTCATCTCCTGTGTGCTTTTTAATGCCTTGAACGTTTTTTTGACAATAAAACATGCCTCGTTTGCCATCATTCTTGTTCCCTACCATTATTCCATTGCTGTTGTCAGTAAACAAAACACACAGTTTTGTGTATAAATGATCTCACTTTTTTTTCCCCCCTGATACATACACTCTTGGATTTATAAGTTAAGAAGCAACAATACTAATTAAATGCACTTATATGTGAACTGAAAGGAGATAAAACCAAAAAATCAATAGAATAACTGAATTTTAAGAGTCTAAAGTATGGTGGAACTAAGACTTAGGAAAAAAAAATCATGATACAACTCAGGAACTTGGAATGAGTTTTAACTTCCGATGTTGATTATAAAAGATAGACATGCTTATCTCCACATGGCTGGTGTAAACAAACAGATCTGGTTTGGGGCTTGCTATACACTAGTCCAAATGGTGCTTTTTACAGACAAAGACACAAAAAATACTACTCAGACCCTGCACCCGACCACAATTATCGTAAGTATAAAAGGATTAATCAGAAATTATTGGTGGGTTTATTTATTAGATTTGATTTGTGGGACCTGAGAATATTTGTGTGCTTTCAACAGTTTCTTGTTATTTCCCTGTCATGAGTTGAAAAATTACCAAACAAATAACTAAAGGGGAGAATTTCACCAATAGTGTGAGGCAGTTGAGTGGCAGAAAAGCTGATAAAGGAGAGAACTTTCCTTCTGGAATGGGGGGGGCAGGGGGCAGCGGAGAAATACACCAGAAAACTGGTAAAAGGAGACAGAGAGGATAAAAAACCAAGACGCTAGAAAATACACACTTGAAAAAATAATCTCAAATTCTGGTTATAAACTTTCTGTTTCAGTTTTGACTTTGGTACTTTTTCCCTATGCCTCGCTGCGTGCACCACGGGGGTGAGCTCCCCTGGCAGAGGCTTTCCACGGCATTAGGGGCTCCAACTTCAAGCACACAAAATGTAATATGAACACTGCAGTTAATTAATAAATTTTAGCTAATCCTTCAAAACAAGAACGGATCACCTACAGGAGCCAAACCTGATATTAAAAGAGTTGTAAGATTGGGCACCTCTCGGCCGCTGGGACCGGGTCCATTTGGGCAGCAGCAGGGATGCACAAACCACAGCAAGCAAAGCACAACCTTTACCCTTCCATTCCCGGGGCTGTCGAGCGTCATTTCTAAATTTAGAGCCCAAACCTCCACCGACGTTTCCTGGGTCAATGTGCGGCCGTTCAACTACAAAACCGAAAGCGTTTCCAAACCGGCTTCACTACGCGGCTCCCTCCTCGATGGGGACAGGCACCGGGACAGTCCCTCGCACCAGCGCTTCTCCCGTGTACGCAGCCCAAGATTAATTTCCCGGTGTCCAATCTGTTGGACGAGCGAACCCATAACGCGCAGGGATGCTCTCCACGGACGGATCTGGGGGGTTTTCTCCAGCTCCTCTCCGCCCCC